TTTAATAGGGTTCGGAAACTGGATTCAACTTTGCTCTACTACTTAACAGCTCTAGAATCTTGGAGACAAGTGACTTAACTCCTCTGAACCTTGGTTTCGTGGCTGTTCCCCGGGAATAATCCTCATAGGGTAGGGTTGTTATTGTGAGGATTAAATGAGATAGCACACTTGGCATGTGACACATAGTGCCCAAAATTTGTTGGCTGTGATGATTATTATTAAGTATGATGGCAGAGTTAGACGTGTGTCCTGGAGTTGAGAACCAAGAGCCACAGGTTATTGGAAATCAGAGGGACATCATGTGGAAGGCTGTCCTGAGGGCCAGGGATGAAGTGCAGGTAACATTCTGGGGTGGGGGACTGGCGAACAAAACAAGGCCAGAAGGTAAACTGAGGCCAGAGCATGGAAAGCCTTCAGTGGCAAGTTAAAAAATCTGACCATTTCCTATAGTCTTGAGGGAATGAGAGTGTTTAAGAGCTCAGCAGCCAACTAAAAAGGAGGCCACATACATGTCATGGGGTCTGGGGTTGCCACCCCCTTCACCTGTGCACTTCTGTCTTGTATGTGCCCGGCGTCATCTCTCCCACCTCTGCTCAGCAAGCAGTCTCCCTCACCCAGGGGAGCAGCTCACAGTGCCCAGTTGTGCACTACCTGTTCAGATGCCGAGAGGCACCTTGTGACACTCTAAGGTTCCTTACCAAAGTCTGTTCCAGCCTTGGGTGGGGGGGTAAGTGACTTTCATGGGCTGTTGCCCTATCCAAGGCACAGCCTGAACTCCAAGCCAAGAAACACATCAACTTCCTGGAACTCAGAACTGTCATCACAGCTGTCTCAGCCTTCAGAGCACATGTGTGGCTGTCCTGATTTGAAGAGACAGTTTTGCCCCGAGCTTTACAGGAAGGGGAAGAACAGGCATGGCCCTGTAGAACGTCTAGCCTGATTTGGTTCTGTCTCAGCCCAGCCAACACTCAAGTCCATCCTGCAAGGGATACCTTTGCTCCTCCGTAGTAGCTTAGGTCATTTTAATATCTTAATTTTTCTGAACTCAAGCACTTTTTTTTTTTAATAAACAGTCTCACTTTGTTGCCCTGGGTAGAGTGCCTTGGCGGCACAGCTCACAGCAACCTCCAGCTCTTGGGTTTGGCGATTCTCTTCCTCAGCCTTCTGAGTAGCTGGGACTATAGGTGCCCGCCGCAATGCCCAGCTAATTTTGTTGCAGTTTGACCAGGGACGGGTTTGAACCGCCACCCTCCGTGTATGGGGCCAGAGCCCTACCCACTGAGCCACAGGCACCACCCAGGGGAACATTTTTCTAGGGCCCCAACCGTCATCCTACTCACTGTTTTCTAGGTCCCTTAGGCTAGAGTTGAGATTTCTATTCAAGAACGGTCAGGTTTTTCAGAAGCTGGGATATAGCCCTTTGTTTCTGGACCATCTTCCTTTTTATCTTTCATCTCTTCCCTGCTATCTCCTTGGACCTGGAGACACACCCCTTAATCTTTTCTTTCTGGCTTTACATTGCATTGTCCCTTATCTCCCTAGAGCTGGGGCTGGCCTTACCCTCGCCCCAGGCATCTTGGAGGGACTTCTGCCCCCTCCTAGTCTTCTGTGGGAATGCAAATCCAGAAAGTCAGCATCTCACACTCCTGGGTCCCAGCCTGTCTGTTACATTTCACCTACAGGAGTCATCTTCTAGGGTACAGCCACATGCAGTCTTTCTGTTTTCCTGAGGGAGTGGTGATGGAGGTAAGGGGTATTTTGAAGTTTTTTCCAAGAATTGTCTTGTACTTTTCCACACTCCAAGTTGTATGGATCCCTTCAGCCTAATAGAACCCAAAACAAACAGGGTAGTGACTCTTGTTATTTAGCTTAATTGCAAGACGTTCTCAGTATTCAAATGATTTTTAGCCAAAGTCAAGAGGATTAAAGTTTCAAGGTCAAGTCTCAGAGCGTGGCCCTCTTGCTCCAAAAGTATCCTTTTTTCCTGCCATGTTCTATGTGTTTGAGGGAAGCTTCTTGGTGGACTTTTTTTTTTTAAGTATCTTTTTTTAGATGAGAGGAAGAACCCAGTCTATATCTCAGTGTAAGTCTTAGCTACAATCCTGAAATTATTTGATTTAATTAACGTGTTTGTATATTTGGGATCATTTTACTCTGTTATTTATTTATTTGAGATAGTTTTGCCCTGTCCCCCCAGGCTAAAGTGTCAGTGCCTCAGCCTGACTCAGCAATCTCAAACTTCTGAGCTCAAGCAGTTTCCCCACCTCAACCTCCTGAATAGCTGGGACTATAGGCATCTGCCATGCCTGGCTGATTTTTCTGTGTTTAGGGGTTTCACTCATGTTCTGGTTGGTCTTCAACTCTTGAGCTCAACTGATTCTCCTGCGTCAGCCTCCCAGAGTGCTAAGATTATAAGTGGGAGCCACCGCACCCAGCAGTCTAGAAATTTCTAATTCCAGAGATTTGTCTCTGTCCTTGAAGCACGTTTTTATTAATTACGTAGAGCTGTAGTTCATTTTATTTATGTAGCGATCTTGGCAGTTTCTACAAAGTAAACCATGGGACTGCTCCTCTTGAGACTTTCTAATAAAAACTTGGCATTCGTTTAAAAATGCATCACTTTGCTTCCTTTTTAAAGACTAATTTCAGCTTATATATCTTTAGGTTTAGATGGATGGGGAGGATTGAAAGGATGTTTTGTCTTTTTTTTTTGGTGTCAAAAGTCTCCCTCTGTTGCCCTGGGTAGCATCATCATAGCTCATAGCAACCTCAAGTGATCCTCTTTTGCCTCAACCTCCCAAGTAGCTGGGACTACAGGCACCCAATGCCCAGATAGTTTTGTTTTTTTTTTTTTTTAATTTTTAGGGTCTCATTCTTGCTCTATCTGGTCTCAACTCCTACTCTCAAGCAACCCATCTGCCAGAGTTTCCCAGAATGCTGGGATTACATGCAGGCATGAGCCACTATGCTCAGCTTGTTTATGGATTTCTAAAAACTCTCTAGAAATTTTAATAAAATTGATTTGATGCATAGTTCAAAGGAGGGCAGGCAAAATAAGGATTCTTACTCTTTGTGTGTGTGGAGGGTGTTTACAATGATCATCTAATTCTCCAAGGAGGGTCCTCTAGAGAACTGCTAGGGTAATGATAAGGGTACCTCCAGGGTTGAGAATCTCTATGCCACCTTCAGAGGTCAGCCCTTGAATTGTTTCTTATTTCCTTATACTTTATTTAAAATCCAAAGAACTGAACTTCTCTTCTCCTCTTCTCTTCTCTCTGTTTTTTTATTTTCTTTTGAAACAGCCTCACTCTGCTGTTCTGGGTAGAGCGCCATGGCATCAGCCTAGTTGATAGAAACCTCAGACTCCTGAGTTTAAGGGCTCTTCCTGCCTTAGCATCCTGAGTAGCTGGGACTACAGCCAACTGCCACCTCACTTGACTAATTTTTCTTCTTTTCTTTTCCTTCCTTCCTTTCTTTTTTTTTTTTTTTTTTAAAGCATAGATGGGGTCTTGCTTTGCTCAGGCTGGTCTCGAACTTCGGAGCTCATGCCGTGCTCCTGCCTCAGCCTCCCAGAGTGCTAAGATTATAGGCATAAGTCACCACACCCGGCCTAAAATCCAAAGAACTTTTTTTTTTTAAATTGAGACAGAGTTTTACTTTGTCACCCTCAGTAGAGTGCTATGGCAGCATAGCTTACAGCAACCTCAAACTCTTGGGTTTAAGCAAGTCTCTTGCCTCAGCTCCTATGTAGCTAGGACTACAGGCGCCTACCATAATGCTTGGCTGTTTTTACAGACGAGATCTCCCTCTGGCTCAGGCTGGTCTTGAAATTGTGAGCTCCACCCACTTCGGCCTTTCAAATTGCTAGGGTTACAGGTGGGAGCACTGTGCCCAGCCTCCCAAAGAAGTTTTCAAATAAAAAGGCTTAAAGAAAAAGATAGAGAATTTTGAAGCAGTGTGGTGAGAAATATGGGAAAATCACTGGGTAGAAAAGGTTGGTGGGGTTTTCTCACCTCCTGCAGGCTGGTCCAGCACGAGGGTTTTCCTGCTGACGCGCACAATGACTATTCATGGACAAAGTAGATTCAAAATGGTCGCTGTGGGACATGAATGGGCAGCTTGTCTCCAGACACTCCAAAAGGGGCTAAAAGTGAGAAAACACACCAAGCAGTTGCTTCTCAACAGGTGTTGTCCGCATGGGGTTTATGTTACTTCTTGAGTCTTCTCCCGGTGTTTCAATCTTCACCTTAGCTGAAGGGTGCTGTGTTCAGAGCCAGAGAGAAAGCGGCTGAATGCCGTAGCTTGGGGAAAGGCTACATTCCAGTTTTCTCCGACTTTGGCCATGATCAGACACAGGCTTTCTCCCAGAGTTTTGAGGCCTGACACCCCCCGAGCAGACTTTCTTAAGCTCTTGACTGGCTTATGAGACATTTTCTGGATCTTTCTTACAGAAAAGAAGATGTCTATATTTGGTGCTATTTGATGTACGTTATAAACATTTCCCTCTCCTTGGGAAGGAAAAGATGTAACAATTTCCCCTTTACATTAGGGCACTGTTCAGTTGCATATTTCCTTCTTTCTTTTCAGCTCTCTTTTTTTCCTCCTTCCATTTCTGATAGCATTGATTGCTGTCTTGCCTCTTCCCATTAAACTAGCAGTCTGCCAGCATCTACTGTGAACATGCCATTAGGATGCTCGAAACTCTTCCTGGAGCCAGCAATCTGAGCCATTCTCACCTGGCATTGTCCTTAACGTTACTGGACTATGGTTGGAGGTGGGGAGGCTCCTGCCCAAGGCACACTCAGCTCCAGTGGGTCTTGCTCGGATGCTAATGGAGCAGCTCTGGGTGGAATTGGCCAAGAGCCAGCAGCTTGCTTATAATTGCAGGCAGAGGATGGGAAAGGTTCTCTTGTCCTAATTTGTGACTCTCGGTGATGTTAAGTAGTGGGTCATTTCTGGTCTTAACCCCCTTTTAATGTCATCCTTTCTCATTTTTGTAGGTTGCTCCGACTCTGTCCTCCAGGAGTAGTGGTTCTGAGGTGTGACCCTGCCCACGTCTGGGCCCAGCCAGTGCCAGCTCCTCAGTAAGGAGGGCAGCTTGATAACACAAAGAAAGCAGGTCAGTGAAACTTTATTGACTTTCCTTGAGTCACAATAACGTTGAATGTTGAGTCTTCTGTGACCTCCCCACATTCCCTTTGAGTTGTCCTTCATCTTTTCCAGGCACTCTGAGGCTTTGGGTGCAAAACCATATTGAAACTGTAACTGTGACTTGCTAGTTCTTCTTGATCTGATGGGTCCAAGTTGTGAGATGAGAAATCTCAGCAAGGATACAGAAGGCTTGTCTCTCAGGAAGCAGTGGTGCAGACTCCTCATTTCTTTCTTCTTTTCCCCTCCCTCCCCTCAAGTTCAGACTCTGTGTGTTAAAAACTGGAACATTGGCCAGTCCACTTGGCAGGGTTGTTCAGATCTATGTCTTGGGAATTTCATCTGGGTTCTCAGAGCTCTGTGATTCCAGGTGAGAGGATTATATTAAAACAGGGACAGAGATTTTTATTTTTAATTTATTATTAGTATTGAGTGTGAGGGGATGTCAGGGTAAGGAAATGGTGTAGAAGAGAGAATGAAAAATCTAGGATTATAATAAATATCCAGAAAGAAAACATTCTTTGTGAATGGACCTTTAAACAGTCAAACTATTTTTCATTTGCCGAAGCTGATTATCAGAGAGCTTAGGTTTGTTGGTTTGGGCTGTTGTTTGAGTCCAGGATGGAACATGGAGTAGGTTGGGTCGACTGATACTGGCCAGCCTCCTCTGGTTAAATTATCACATAGATGAGCTTTTGTGTTCAGGTGGATTTTTTTTTTTTCTAACGTAGAACAATGAGCTGCATTGTGCATTGCACCAGTTTCCCTCTGCTTCTGCCCTGCTCCCTGGTACTCAAATATAAGACACAGGAACAAACTGAAGTACAATCTTGTTACAGCCCCAGGGGCTGGTTGTTGGTTGCTTCTGAAACAGCTTCTCAGGGATGAGTCCAGTGACTCTTTTCAAACTGTATAGCTGGGAATTTCATTTTGCTAGTTGTATTTTCAGATCAAAGATGAGAAGTCCATCTGCTTACAGAAATTGCTCTTAAAGTAGGAAAAGGAAGTAAATGTAGGTGATCTTGGTGTCGTCAGTGGGTAGTGTCACACTTTACACTTTATCCCCAAGGAGGAAATAAATTTAGCAAATGTCTTCCTGTCCAGACAAAATGGGAAACGAGCTTTCATGACTTTTCTCCCTTTCAAGTGGGATTGGTTAGCTGTAGTGCCTACTGCTAGGCATTCTGTGTTTAAGGCCCTTTGGTAGTTTGCATGAGTATATCTTTGTTATCACAATGACTGCATGAGTTCTTACTGGCAGTTTGGTTCTGTTTAGTGAGTATATTCTTGTCAATTTGCCTGTGGCTTATTTCCCTTTTCCTGACTTTCTTCCTTTATTCAATGATAGAATTAGTGTATATATTTTGTAACTTAGAATTTTTCATTTAGTCTTAAAGGTTTTTAACCTGTTTCCAGATTTGAGTTAACTCTATTGCAATTTTCTTTTCTAAATGTAGTGATAGGACAAAAGCAAGATCTTCAGAACTCTTGGTAGAAATTGATAGAAAGGTTCATTTTCTTTTTACTGATTTCTAACCAGTTATTTCATAAATTTCTGCACATTAAGATTATGGTAGAGATATTTAAAAGAATGAGGTGAATTCAGTATTGAAGATGTCCATTTGTGTGTGTGTGTGGGTGGGTGTGTGTATAGAGACAGAGCCTCACTTTCTCACCCTCAATAGAGTGCCATGGTGTCACAGCTCACAGCAACCTCCAACTCCTTGCCTCAGCCTCCCAAGTAACTGAGACTATAGGCACCTGCCAAAACGCCTGGCTATTTTTCTTTTTTTAAAATTGCAATTTGGCTGGGGCCGGGTTTGAACCTGCAACCCTCAGTATATGGGGCCGACGCCCTACTCACTGAGCCACGGGTGTCACCCAAGATGTCCATTTTTGAATCAATAATTACATGCTGATTGATTTTAAAATTCCAGGAAACTGGCTTGGCACCTGTAGCTCAGCGGCTAGGGTGCCAGCCACATATACTGGAGCTGGTAGGTTCAAACCTGGCCTGGGCCTGCCAAACAATATAACAAGTACAACCGAAAAATAGCCAGGCGTTGTGGCAGGCACCTGTAGTCCCAGCTACTTGGGAGGCTGAGGTAAGAGAATCACTTAAGCCGGAGAGTTGGAGGTTGCTGTGAGCTGTGACACCATGGCACTCCACTGAGGGTGACATAGTGAGACTATCTCAAAAAAAAAAAAAAACCCCAAACAACAATTCCAGGAACCTGTTGATACTTTTGTTAGCAATGCATTAAGAAATAGAAGATGTTCTGTGTTTGTGTACACTGTAGAGTGTGGTCTGCATGTTTTTTCCTCAAGAGAAATCACCCCAATAAACTTTCTAAGAAAGTTAAAAACAGGAAGTTTGAAGCACAATTTCAATAAATTTAAATGATCTGCTAGTATGAGGAAACCTCCTAGAAAGATACCAGTTTGGGTTTTTTCCTTTAATTTTGGCCATAGCTTTCAGCCCATTGTGGAGAAAAATGGAGATTAGGGTGTGGGGAAGTTGTTACAAATTGTATTTTTCTATAATCAGAACCTGTACCTGCCATTTAGAAACCCATTTGGTTCACATCTTCAAAATGTGAAGGTATATTTTGTATCTTGAAAAGCACGGTTCGTAAGATGGTCTCTCAGCCTTTGATAGGATTTTAGGTTGGTCCTTATCAGCTGCTGGAAGCATTCTTACAAAGTTCTAGCCCCAGACCTTTCCTGCACTGCACGTTAATAGCTGCTCTGGATGTTACCCTTTGTCATCACATAGGCTGCATCCCCTAAAGTTAGAGGAGGAAATCACTAGAAATCATATTCTTTCTTGTGTTGTTTCTATGTTCTTTATAGCTGGGATGTTGAGCTTGATCTTTGGCTGCTCTTGTGGACTTGTAGAATTTATTAACCTACCCTATAGGATAAGGCGCTAAGATAATTTAGATATTGCTGGTAGGCCTTCTGCTATAGACTATCTTCTCAGATAAAATGAGGAAAACAATTTACCTATTGACTTCTTGCCTATTGGCCCCAGTACTTCTAATTAATTTTGATACGGCCACAGGCCATAGTTTTCCCTTTGCTCGGCCTTTTTGTGTTACTAGCTTTCTTTTTGGGTCTGACCTGATATTGTTTGGACTCTTAAGCTTTTTGTGAATGCCTTAACTGTTTTGTCTTTGGTCAGTGTTAGGTGAAGGCATTGGGAGAGGGGGAGTTCAAGTGGAGCCTGACCACCCTTGGGAGGGCTAGGGCTCAGTGTGAACGAAAATTTGATGTATGTGGATAAATATGAGCTTCAGAAAGTAAGATACTGTGCAGTGAAGCAATAGCACTCTGAAATCATCAGTCAAGGTTGAAAACCACAGAGTGCGGTCTGGGAAGAAAAAAAAGACTTAAACGTTGCCTCTCATGTACTTTCTGTATTTTCATGAATATAGTTTGAGATTATGGCAGATCTTATAAACAGTTTCCATTTTTTCATCCCTGTGCTAAAAGATGTTAATTGAACCTTTTTGTCTTCACTTCCCTTCCAGTGTCCACGAGTGGCACCAAGAGAAAGAAAAACAGGTCAACCCAGACTCCTTTCCTACCCCATGTGGATGACAGCTATTGTGGGGGGAAATTTCACAGTATATCAATTGGGACAGAAGATGGAGGTAATTAGCCGTGCGTGCGCGTGTGTGTGTGTGTGTGTGTGTGTAGTTGGGGCGGGGTCTTTCTGTTTTCTGGGGTCTATTACTTGTATTTTTTTTTTTTTAGGAAGCAAGATTTTATACATCAGTTTGAAATTTGATTGTAATTCTGATAGGGTCTGCTTCTCAAATCTCTTAAAACATTTAGGCTTCTCAGTAAAATCACTGTATTAAGGCAGTGGAGTTAAATGAAACCGGAAGTTTCTCTTCACTCGTTTTAGGTCTAGAACCTTCACGGAGTAGTAAATAAGTCCAGGGTTTTTTTGGAGGATGCTGGGATGCTGGCCAGACGGCAGCTCCCTGGGTTTCCTCATTGTTGCCTTGGCTTTTCCCATTTCTGCCTAACAAAGATTAGGAAAGGCAAAAAACCTGCCTCCTGTGACATTGAGTGCCATCGCTGACATACACTCAGAAAGGAAGCAAGGTTATTGGTTAGTGTTTGGTAGGTTGAGACTTCATTTAGATGAAAATTTCAGTCGTTGTTGGCGTTGAGTATGGGCTTGAACTGAATGAGGGTGTTGGACATTGTTGACCCTAGTTTATAGTTAAAGTATTGTGGCCAGCGCCCCCTGGCTATGACCAAAGTCTAAACTTCCCATCATCATATCAGCAATTTCCAATTTTCAGTTTTATGGCAGAGGCTTCTTAGAAGCTTAAACCCTTGTTCCAATGACGTCGAGTTTGCCTGTTGGCTTGGAAGGTTCAGACCTGTCTTCCATCAATACCATGATGTCAGCGGTAATGAGTGTAGGGAAGGTCGCTGAGAATGGCGGGAGTCCGCAGAGCATCAGGTCCCCTGCGAAGCCTCCAGGACCAAACCGGATTGGCAGAAGGAACCAGGTAAGCATTTGTGCTCTGGATGGTGACATCTGGTGGGTTCATCAGGAGGCGTTCCCCAGCTTCCTAAGACAAAACACTGGAAGTGTTAGGAATGAAACAGACATTCCCAGGGGCCATAATCATTTTTGCTTTTGCAGAGTAAATTTTCTTTGCTATGGAGTCAGTGCTGGTGAAAGCACCCTTATTCTTGGCCTCCTCATTTGATTTGAATGCAAGCTTTCTTCACATGAGGGCCATGGCAGAGAACATAACTGATTCTTCTACTGGGACGTGGTTCTTTTCCCTGTTCATACAGCTGTTTAACTGGGCTTTCAAAGCCACCTCCTTGAGTTTTTTTTTTTTTTTTT